AAAAATACTATAAAATCTTACACAAACATGAAGGCATAATGTTGGAGAATCACTGAAATATTGCTTTTAACTTTTAAAAGTCAAAATTGAGGAAAACAGTTTCTCCTTTAAAATAACAGTTTAAAATAACTCTTTTTTTGTTAGTGCCCTTTTAAATGTTCTGTAATAGAAAAAGATTCAGCCCATGCTACTTACCCCAAGGTCATTTTTATTTATGACTTCATTTGTTATGATGAAGTTGGAAGAAACAAATGTAATCTGGAATGAAGGGTATTAATATATTTGTATCTGTGATTTTAGAAGATCATCAACCACATAATTTATGCACTGCATGCTAATTGTTAAGATTCTGTACCATCTCATAAACAAATATAGGAAACCTATGGGTCAGATTTTCCTTCTGCAAAGCTCAATCATTATTCACACAGAAAGTGCAAGATTTTAGAACCTACATATATTTCAGACACTTTAGTGCTTTGAGTCAGCCTTAATAGCAGGGCCTGGGATTTTGCTCCCCCTTTGGTACAGCCAACTAGGATTTTAGTGTTTATAGAAATAAAACATTAAAAAGTAATATTTCCCATAACAAACATCAGGGACTCAGATGCTTCATAAGTCCACAATTTTAAACATTCTTTAAATATTGTAACCATTTTTGTGAAACAGCTTTAACTTTTGAAGGATGAAAATCTTACACAGGAATAACTGCTACATTTTTAATGCACCCACAAGAAAAAGCTATTTTTGGTAATCTTGTAAGTGGAAGGAAAAACCAATTCTTCATGTTCAAGAAGTGCTGAATATGAGACAAGGATTTGGCGCAACTTATTTGCATTTGTGGCATCTTTGGGGACCTTCTGGTTCCTGCCAAACTTAATTTCCCTTATTACTGAAGTAAAAATATTAAATCTTTTTGGAAATACGTAAATCAAATTAGTAATGAGAGTCATCCTGTTCCCTTTTGCAGAAGGTCATGCATACAAGGAAGAGGCATATGGAACTTTTTCAGGAATTAAATCAGAAATTTCAAACTTTGGACAGATTTCGGGATATACCAAATACAAGCAGTATGGTAAGTACTCGTTGCCTGTCTTATCCCTGCCCCCAGGAGCTCCTACTTGTCTTGGGAACACAAGACTAGCATACATGGTAAAGATAATAAGCCCCCAAAATATACATAGAAAAGGCTACTAAGAGAAAAATTAGGAATGATGGAATCTTTAAGCATTTTATTCATATTTTAAATGTTCTCATTTATAAGCTTTAATTAGAATTAGTTATATATCAAAAATGTGTTGGCTCCCTCTGGCCACTTTATCATCAGAGTTAATTCAAAATTCAGTTAATTCAAATATCAAAATATATGGCTAAACTTTTCAATTTTCATTTGAATGCCTGACATTTTAAGGCCATAAAATGTAATTATTTCATATATTTGAAGTAGTTACCTGAAACCAGAGTGGTAGGTTTTTGTCTCCAGGAGATTCACTTGTTTTGTGATAAGAATTTTGGTACACACGTCAACACTAGGGGCTTTGGTTGTTGGTTGTAACTATTCTCTTCTCATTCATTCACAGTATCACAATCTTAATATAGTACCAAAAAAAATAATAACATGGTACAATTAGTATGTGCATGGCAGTCATAACTTCATAGAAGGCTGTGTAATTATTTGTAAGAGCACTGGACCAGGAGTCTAGAAACCAGTAACTAGTCGAAAGCTCAACCAAGAACTATCTGATCTTGAGCAAGTCACCCAACTCAGGTTTGTAAACCTCAATTTTCTCCTCCTAAATGGAGCATAGAAAACAGTAATTAATATAAGCTTCCTTCAATCCTCACACTTTCAAAAGCAAGTAGGGCACTTTACAGGTTAGGAAGCTGAGGCTTAGCTATAAGAGATAGAGCTGGGATTGCCATCTGATACCAATACTACTTCTCTCCAAATCTGGTGCCGTTGCTTTGCTTCATACTCTTTGCAGCCCATGGATGGTCCTTTCTCTCTTCCAGACATCAATATATATAATGCTCTAAAGTACGTGGTGTTTAATCACCTTCTAAATCCAGTGATTTTTCCATAAGTATTTTATGAGTCTTAGTCCCAGCTTTCTGATGAGTAATGTTAGCTTAGGAAGAGATGAAGAGCAAGAATTTATGTATCTTTATGTTTTCTTTTACACCTCTCAGTACTAGTACAATGCTGGTCATGGTAAGTTATCAATAAATGGCTGCTACTGATTTATTGCATGGCTATTGATAGTTTAATCTGTGTTTGTTAAACGAAGGTTATAAGAAATACTATACACTGTAACTCTTAATTGGTTTCTAAACAGTTCATGTATATATCAATCTATTTTCCTCCTTAAAGCAGGAATTATGCATTATTTATTACCGACACAATGCTAGGCATATAGAAGGCACTTTATATGTAATGAGTGGTTCTTTCTCATCTTCTCCTCCTAATACGAAGCCATCAATTTTTAGGTAGCAGTCAAATGAGAATTACACCATTGAGATTAGACCTAAACACATTAGCTATTCAATGAAAGCTAACACTGAAATAAATTGAAGAAACTTCATTTGTTTAAAAAAAAAGGAGAGGGTTATGTTTAGAAATCTGAAAGAACAATGCAACAGATACAGCCAGCTGACTGCTATAATATGATTGTAATTTCCCCTTGTTGTAGGGTCTGGGTATTAAATCATTAATGGCACAAATATCTGTATCTCAGTTTCCTGACAACTAAAATAGTCTGCTAATTACACCACATCTCTGCAGCAGCATGCCTCTTCTAGAAGAGATTTATAAATATTTACCATTTGGGAGATTAGGAGTGGGGAGGATAGAGTTGTCATTACTGCTTTACTGTTGTCCTAAATATCTGAGAACAACAAAAAAGAGTTCCTTATTCAATTTTGATTAATAACAAACATGTGAGTGTGTTCGTTATCCTTAATTCAGTCACACAATTCATAGTGGCACATTACTAATGAAAAATTGCATAATTGGGTAGAGAAAGCCTTTTTCTAAAATTTCACATAAAATGTTTTTCCTCCTCCCACCCCCAACCCTGGGCTGCCAACTCACAACACCTGCTTAGAATTGCAAATGATGGTAATTATGTAGAATAATAGAATTTGAGAGTCAAAGAGAATCCAAGAGACCATTTAGTCTATTTCCCTGCTTCCAGGCAGGAAAACATTTCAATCACACTACAAAGGAAAGGGCACTATTTAATGAGATCCAGAGAAGAAACTTTTACTTCGAGTGTCTCACAGGTCATTCACAGACAAGATCTCTTTTCCCCATGTAGCTTCTCCAACTTCCTGCTCTTTTAGAATAAACATACTCTCTTTTGCCTTGTCCCCAAATATTGGTAAGTTGGAAAATGGAAGAAAAGAAGAGAGGGAAGGAAGAAGAAAAGGAAGGCGTAAAAGAGAAAAGGATGGATCGAGGGAGGGAGAAACTCATCCACAGCGCGCAGCTCGGATGCTCCTGGCCCATGAGCT